GGCTGGAAAAATTAGAGTTCTCTCTTCTGCACCTCTTTTCCTTCAGGTTTATCTATAAAGTCTGTTTGCCCGCTGAGAGGATGGGCCCCTTAACGTCCAGGCGTCTCTCCCTCGTCCACGGGGATTGGGGACTTGCTGGGTGAACCCATTCAATTTCTTTGCTCCCTTAGAGATGTTGGAATTAGATCTTTGTTTTTTTCTCTTTTTTGATTGTGTCTCTTCTCCTTTCTGTTTAGGTAATTAAACTTAAAAATTCCTATTTTTAGTTCGTTGGGGAGGCAGGTCGCTAGTTCTTTTGGGCAGCTCCTTTTGACTGTCAGGATTATCTTGCTTTTTTAGAGAATGAGAGAGGTATTTGGTTCCTTGTGTCTGTTGAGGTTTTTTTACAAGTAAGAAGCTATTTGTGAAGTGAAAGGGAGTATATTTTTGTCCTTCTTAGGGTCTCATTTGCAGTTTTTCTTAAAAATGGTTTCCTGTTTGAATCAAAACCACTTAAACCCTGCCAGGAAACTGGGTAAGCTATAAAAGCAGCAATTGCTTTGCCATTTCTGAGGGTGCCTTTCCAAAATTAGGTACTTTGTTCATTCTGAAATGGGACGAAGTCTTATGAACTTGTCTATATTTGCCACAGATTATGTTATGGTAGGGCCCTGACTGCCTTGTCTTAAACTGCCTTCATGATTTGCACAAAGTGGTTGTTTCTTTTAGAATCTTTGTATTCTAAAGCTGGTAGTAGGGAGAGAAACAATTTTCAAGTAGTTAGCACATTTGTAGTAGTGAGTTTACAGAATATTTTTCTTTTGAGACTTCCTGTTGCGGTTTAAAGAAAAAAAGATTAGTCTCCTTGGGTTTGGAGGGTTTTTTTTAGTAGTTGGTAATAAATAAAGTTATTTTTAGGATCATATGTATCAAAAAGATATGCTAGGTATAGATAAAAGAAGGTAGGTGATTGTGAGCAAGGAATTGCTTTGTTGAGGGTTAAAGCTGAGTGGATCCTTGAGCATGATCAGTGCCTCATACATTCTGCTCTGCAGAGTTGCTGTGTGGAGCTGCAGGATGAGGACTTTGTATTTGGACAGCAACTAAAGAGAGTTTGCACTGAGCCGTTTCTCATTTTGGAGTCCACTCAATGTGAAGTGAGCGGTTTCTGCCGAGGGATCCAGTTTCTTTTTAAGAGTGGTTTTTGAAGGGAGAATCTGTGGTATAATGTTTCTTCTTCCTGATTACAGCTACAGGTATTGGGGAAGAAAACACGTTTTTTATTGAACTCACTTGTAATACTGACAACGTGCTGTACAGCAGAGAGAGTTTCTCTGAGTTTGGGCGGAGTTGGTTATAAATTTTAAGATTCTATGATTCTTCCTGTCTTGAAAAGAGATACCGTTTCCTCTGTGTGCTTCCCCTCCTCCTTGTTCCAGCTGAAGAAATAGGCAATGGTGCTTACTAAACAGAGTAGTATGGGGTTTTTTTTTCCTTCTGCCTTCAAAAAGTATCTGTAAGACAACCAAGCCAAGATACTGCTTTTGTTTGGGCCTCTCCAGCTTGCTATGCTACATTGAGATGTCCACTGTGTATCTGTTTCTCTGAGTTTACTTTGTGACATCACACTTTTTCAAATGATCTGTTAAAATAAAAGCAAGCAATTAAAAACATGAAATTGCCATGTATTGGTTCTTTGTAGGATATGAGCTGTGCGTTCATATATTCAGCAGTTAATTCAGAATTCCTTCAGTGTTTTGTACTGCCTGTTGTAGCTGTTGGTCGTGTTCCTTGTCTTCTTAAGGAGTCCTTACGGAAACTGTTGATGTAACTTGATGGACCCTCTGAGAATAAAATCTGTTCTTTCAGGACAAGTTATTTAAGGATGATAATAGGCTGGTGTGAGTTGTAATCTAATATTAGATATCCTAGTGTGCCAAGTCTGTTTTTACACCTGGTCTAAGGTCCGTTTAGCTGGATTTAACCTACAGACTCATCTAACTCATCCTTTTTGGTTTCATCCTTTCTGTCTTTCTTTTAAAATACCTGATATCTAAGGGAAAATCCTTACTGGCATTGGTGCGTTGTTTTTTCCAGCCCGTGAGATAAAGGGCATATTGTAACATCAGCTGGCAGGAAAGTAGATGGGAATTGGACCTGTGCTGCTTTGTTTCTCCCTCGATTTTTGTAGTAGGAAAGTTACTGTAGCCCACTGTAAGTGTGGAGCTGCCAGACTGTGTTACCTTACCCTAGGGATGTGGCTGGTTTATGGCCAGAAATGCAGATCCAGTTTAAACTCATCTTGGACTAGTGCTTTTTCTGGTCACAGTATGTGTACTGAGTGGCGGACAATCCCTGGCAGTGATTTGCTGTGCTGTTCATTATTTCAAGGCCAACATGAAGGGGAACACAACAAGAATTTTATTGTTAATAGTGCTCGAATGGAATAACAAGGCAGCTTTTCTGGAAAGAGCAGAGGTGGAGTATCAGCAAGCTACCAGAGCTAGGCAGGTAAAGATTCATTTCTTGCGTTTTGACACTAGTGGTGTTAAAACATTCTAGCATAAGAGCAGGGTGTGTGTCAGAGATTTGGAAATTGCATTCATGATACGTCTTACAAGTTGTAGAAAATAATGTTTCAGGTTGGACCAGGTAGGTCCATGATCATATGGGAAGGTGGCTGTCTTGCAGATTCTGGAATACTAATCTCAGTGTTTCATTTCTGCCTAAATACCTTCCATGTGCTCTTTTCAAGGGTATTCTAAAGACTCTAAAGTAGAAAAAAAATATTTAGGCATTTAGTTTTCAGAGGTTACTGAACTTGTACTGTGATGTCTAGAATCATAGAACCGTTTAGGTTGGAAAAGACCTTTAAGGTCATTGAGTCCGACTGTTAGATTTTGATTTTGTTCAGAATTAACAATGGAGACACTAATCATTTGTTGTGAAAAAAATAATAGTTTGTCATTCACCATTTTATTATTTTTTTAATATGAGGGTGAGGAAGGAGAAAGTTCATTAGACAAATATTTCTAGAACTATTCTGTGTAACATTAGGTGTTTCAGAACCTGTTGAAAGAAGAAGGAGTTAATCACTGCTCGGATGATTGTATAATTATGTTGTAGGGCGGAATGGATTTAAATATATAGAACTACTTCTCTTACTGGTGAATAAGATTGTTTTCTTTCTGGAAAGTAATATATTAGTATTGGAGAAGATGAGATTCTTTTAAAGTGTTTATCAAAATGGAATCTTATTCCTTAGTAATTCCGTAATGCACGAAGCTCAGCATATTGAATGTGTCACAGTTTTGACTATATTTAAAAAAAAAAAACCCAACAAAAAAACCCCAAACCAACCACCAAATCACAAAATACAAACTATTCTGGTGTCCCAACAAAGCTTTCTTTGTTACTAAATCACTAAAGAGTTTACTCCCTTGTGCATTTTGCTTTTTTCCAGCTTCCAGGTAGGTAGCTTCTCTATGCTGTTGAGTTTTAATTGATCCCATTATAACTCCTGATTCCCAGCTTCCTGCCCTGTCCCAGTTGGTGTTTGGATATTGCTGCTGGTTTATTCTGTCTGCACTGGCTTAGGGATACATTAGAGAATTACGTTTGGCTTCTCTAAGTCCCTCATGGCAACCCAGACATTCTGCCCACTTGTCTTCCAATATTATGCAGTGACACTAAGGACTTGGAGCTTCCCGCTAGAGGTGGGTGGACTTTCTCTGCTACCTGGAAGTACGCTGAGCAGAGCAGATTCAGCCAGCTGGTTGTCCTGGGCAGAGTAACACTGCTTTATTTTGAGCCGGTGGGAAGATTTAAGACCAGTTTGGGGTGGTATGGAGGGACTTGGAGAAACCAAAACAGCAGGTAAGAAGTTATGCTTCCTTTCCCCAGGTGCTTATAGTCCTCAACATATGACGAAAGTATAATTGAAGAAGCCATCGTAGACATGGTAGAAAGAACACATTTAATGTGGAAAACCAACCCAAAACACACACTCCAACCCCTGTAAAATTGCCTAAAGCAGCTGAACATTTTGCTTCTGAATGCCTTCCAGAATTAGTCTGAGCTTTAACACTGTGTATCTGGACCTGAATTCCTCAGACATAACAGAAATGTAGTCCCATAATAGTCTCAAATATAAGATCAAATAACTAATATCTGGTCATCTAGAGAGACGTTTTGTGTGAGATTTCAGTAATTCGGGAGATTTCCTGTTAAAAGTTCCAGTGAGATTCCAAAAAGATTAAATAACTTTCCAAAAGCCGTGTATCTTGTAAGACAGTAGTTGTTAAAATCTTACCGGTTTTGCAGATTGTCTTAAACTGTAAGCTCATGATCCTTTCTGCTGTGTGGGTAAGTATGGCTCGGATACCAGGTTATTTTAAACACTGGGAGAAACCCCCCCAAAATGCACAGTTTTTAGTCTGGTCCCCACAAATGCCGTACTTGATGCCGTGCCTGCTCGCCAAGCAGAGGTAGTCCACAAATGATACCGGCGGCTGTGTGTTGGCACGTGTGCTGCTGTACAGATCAGGCAGTAAACCCAATCTGATTTCAGCCTCATTCCAAATGGTATCAAGAGACCCTGCTTTTCTCACTGTAAAAATGTCACTTCTAGTACTTGAGAGTTATGCTGGAAGGAGTGATATTTTTTCTTTTTGCCTGCGATACTATTCCATGTTTTTTTCTGTGACAAAGATCTTTTTTTCTTCTTCTTCTTCTTTTTGTAGGTTGAAAGAAGAAAGGGAGACCTGCTTGTCCAATGAAGATGCAGTCTTAGTCTTCAGCTATTTAAGCTGAATGCATTGTGATTTCCAATAATTGAGACAGTGATTCTGAAAGCTGTCTACATTAATGAAAAGAACAATGTAGTCAGCTTAACTGAATCATCAGTGTTGCATATTGAATAGACCATGATAACCCAATCTTGATGGACTTACGCATGTTAGGAATATAGATATAAACACTTACTAAATCATTGTTTTTTTTAAAAAACAGTAGTTTTAAACATGGAGAACTATGAAAATGTACCACCCCTCCCTAAAGAACCTGCAAGAGAAATGAATGTGGAGAATCATGCTTGTCCCCCACCTCTGCCGCCTAACGAACAGCCTCCACCACCTCCCCTGCAAACGTCCAGTGACGCAGAGGTAATGGACGTTGGCTCTGGTGGTGATGGACAGTCAGATACCCCTGCTGGGGACACGCACAGTATCTGCAGAACACAGCTGCTCACAAAGGGATCTGCCTGCTACAAAAGTCGTCTTATAATAGACCCTAACAATAGTGACCAAAGCCCAAGAACTGCTCGTCATGCACCTTCAGTTCGCAAGTTCACCCCAGATCTTAAGTTACTTAAAGATGTAAAGATTAGTGTTAGCTTTACAGAAAGCTGCAAAAGTAAAGATAGGAAAGTTCTGTACACTGGAATCGAGCAGGATTATAAGGCAGATACAGATTTTGGTATTAATAATGTCAATGGAGATTTGCATGTTTGTCCTTTTGGTGGTAGCAATGGTAAAGCTGTAGGAATAGGGGGTGAAAACGATGAAAAGAAAGATGATGAGAATGATATTGATCAGGAAAAGAGAGTGGAATATGCAGTTCTGGATGAGCTGGAAGATTTTACCGACAATTTGATGGAAATAGATGAAGAAGGAGGAGGGTTTACATCTAAAGCAATCGTTCAAAGAGATAAAGTGGATGAAGAAACCTTGAATTACTCGTATGAGGTAAGTAGATCCACGGGTTTTGGGCGGGTAAGAGGTTTCCAAGTGACTAGGAAAGAATACGCAAAGATATTCACTGAAACAGTCTCTTCTACAAACATGCAGTATTGAGTCAAAAATGCAGAATGTTCAGAGGCAGAACTTTGGCTCAAAGCTTTTGTAAATTATCTTGGTTGACCTTCTGAATTGTGTGGCAGCTTCTATAGTCCTGTTTAAATATAACATTTAAAAGGCTTCTTACACAATTGCAGCTCATTTTATCATGGAAAATACCAGTTCTCACTTACAAAATCTTATTTTTCAGTCTTTTTACTGGAATCATTGGAAATTTCTAGTTTCTCTTTGTATCGAAGTAGATAGCAAAAATGTGTACTTTTTCTTTACAAGGGGAAAGGGAGGTTAGTACACCCAGAAGGATAGTATCTGATGAAGTCTCTTTCAGGATGACTTTGATAACGATGTGGACGCTTTGCTGGAAGAGGGCCTTCGAGCACCCAAAACAAGGAGACTAGAAAATGAGAAATACGGTGGTGAAAGTGATCACCAGTCCGATGGAGAAACAAGTGTGCAGCCAATGATGACCAAAATTAAAACTGTGCTTAAAAGTAAGTTAACGTTAAATATCTATGGTTTTGTGTGTGGCCTATGTCTATAGAACAAAAATATGTCAGCTGGCAATTCTTGTGAAATGTTAATATGTCGCAGAATTCTATTGTGTGAAGATTTCTGACTATAGGGTATGATATTTTTTTTCATATTCCTGAACAGTGAAGTTTATTTGGGGAGTGCTTTTGATCTTCATTTGTTACATATAGTGAGAATGTATTTTAGCCTGTGGATTTGTGAAAAATTATGAAGAATGTTACCTCGGTGGTGGGAAGGTGAACAAGGGTGATCTGGAGATTTTGTCTCCAATACTATGAAGCAGCGGAAGGCTGTAGTCACTGTGAACTTCTTCCTACTTCAGTTATGGAACTTGTGTCGTTGAAATCGCTCAGTGTGAGGTCTTTATGCATGCAATACTGGGTTAAAAAAGTGATTGGGAAGATCAGTGGTTTATGTTTATCCAGTTTCATTGTGTAAATGTTACAAACTACTAATAAAGAACTCAGAATGTGAACCAGTCTAGAAGAATGTAGCTGAAAATAGTCTGAATTAGGAGAACCTGCTATAGAGTATTTCACATCTTCACTATATTCTGAAATAAGGAATTAAACAGTTTTTTCCTCCAAAATTTTATACTATCATAGTATTGCCAGGAAGTCTCTGGTTTTGTGATTTCTGGTGTAGAGAGGAGTGACACCATTCTCTGATGTCTGGAATAGAAAAGAGTGAGGCCATGTGTTACTAACTTGAGTGTGAGCGTAAGCATTTTACTGCAATATTGTTTCTATTGTTGTGTGATTCCTCGTATTGGCTTATTGTACTCTAATATAAAGTCATGTTTTCTGGAAGAAGAAGTGTTCTTGATGGCTAAGATAGTAAGTATAAAGGCTCGCAGAGTTGATCCTGCTTTATATTGTGCTTATGCTGAAGAACACAATAGGAGAGCCTTAGCTTACAGCCTAACTCATTGCGGGATGTTTGGGTCTTTTCCTGTTCTTCTCAGCAGTCTGTCCAAGTTTAAAGCCATTCTTTGCTTTAAAGGTCGTGGCCGCCCTCCTACAGAACCTTTGCCAGATGGATGGATCATGACATTCCATAACTCGGGCATCCCTGTATATCTGCACAGAGAATCTAGAGTTGTTACCTGGTCTAGACCTTATTTCTTGGGAACAGGAAGCATAAGGGTGAGAGCTGTCAATTACTTACTTTTTACATCTCAGTAAGTATTTAGCTATGTTCCTGCAAGCAGTTCTGTTTGATTTTTTTTTTTTAACTTCATCAGACTTCTTTCCAGTGTTAGAATTGAGGTACTTGAAAAATGTACTCCTCTGTTTCTGAAAATATGATTGCATGATTTTCCTTATGGGTGTTTTGTTTTTTGTTTTTTCCAATGAGTTTGGGCAATTAAGGTGAATGAAATGGTCTTGTTTGGTGCCCTCATTGTTCTAGAATGTGGCTGCAAAATGTTGGGTTTATTCCACCATGAAATACATTTAGATCATTTATTTGTAGCTATAAACTAGCTGAGCTGTGGCTTGTGGTCCACATTTACAGAAATAAGAATGTGACGTTCATGGACCCAAGGAATCTCCAGAAATTGGTTTTAATCTCATGGGCTTAAATCCCCAGAGAGCTCGATGGATGTTATGAAAGCGTGTAGCATTTGCATGTATTTGGACAAATATAGTTTGGATCTAAAGCTGCAAACGTACTTTGAAGGTTAGTATCAGTGTTACACGGTGCCATAGGAGACATACTCAGATCTTGGGTAGAGTAGGATTGCTGACCGAAGAGAAACTTGAGTCTAGACTAAATAAAAGCAATTTCCATCTTGATTACAGCTTTTGGTTTTGAATTTTGCTTTTGGTGATGTTGAGGTATTGAAACCTTCTGTATTGTTTCATTTTTGCAGAAACATGATCCTCCCCTTAGTAGCATTCCCTGCTTGCATTACAAAAAAATGAAGGAAAACGAGGAAAGGGAACAAAACAATGACATAACCCCCAATGGTGAAGTATCACCTGTAAAGCACTTAGATAAATCTTCAGAACTGGACTGCCAAACGGAAGAACCAGATTCCACTGCTGCCGATTCGGGGCCTTTAGATGAGAAAGACCCCTCGGGGGGAGATGCAGCACAAGGAGCCTTAGGACAAGTTAAGGCTAAAGTTGAAGTATGTAAAGATGAATCTGTAGGTAGGTATGGCAAGTGGAGTCTTTTTTTGCCTGGAGTTGGGGTAATGGCGTTTGGGATGTGCATGCGCTTTATTCCAGACTTGGCAACAGAACAATATCTTGCCTGAGATCAGGTGGTCAAAACCTGCACAGTTTTTTATATGTAGAGATCTGGAGAAATCGATCTGGTGTTGGAAGTCAATTTTGATTTTAACAGGAAGAGAAACATGCAATGGAGAGGTTTGCTGGAGGCATGAGAGTCCACGTGCAAAGGTTCTACACACAAAAATTTGAAAATTTTGAAAGTTTAGTCACGTAGACTTTATCTCAGTTTAAGGATCAGTGAAGTCAGTCTCTACATACAAATGGCTGTTGTGAGGTGTGTTTGTGTGACTTTATTTAAATAGGCTTTTCTATGCAGTCTCTGTATTGGCTGAATTATATCTGTATTCAGTATGTTCTTTTAAGAGAAATCATAGAATCGTTTAGGTTGGAAAAGACCTTCAATATCATTAAGCAAATGATGCCGTTAAATTTGCTTATTTGCACAAGTCTAACAGAATAAGTCATGCAAATGTAACTTTGCTCATGCAAAGGGGTGTAATGCTTCATTATTTTATTTATGCAAGTCTGATAGGTTTTCTACAAAAAGCTGCCTAAAGAAGTAGTGCCAAAATCACTTCCAAACTTACAGAGGAACGTGGGGGGAAAGGTCATGTGCCACTTGCCACAACTACAGACCTGCGAGTGCCATCCGTGTAAATCACTGCTGCTCAGAGTACTGGTCTGGATTGCAGGCTGTCACTTATCTTTGTAGTGCTCAAACATAAAACTTCTTGTCATTACACATGTCCTGCCTAAAGATTAAAATAAAAAATCATCAATATTTAGCAGCAAAACTAACACCAGTCTTTCCTACCTGAAGTTCACCCGTCTGTCCCTCTCTTTAAATAGGATCTGGTCTGTATTAGTGAAAAAAATACTGAGTGACCAAGTATAGGTGTGACTAGCATTGGGAATTCCTTGTGGAATAAAACAATACCAGCAGCTTGCTCCTGTGTCTTTATGTCTTGGGATGCTACACTTCATTTTTGCTGATTAGATCTGCAGAAATATCCTGTAAAGGGGAAGCAGCTGTACTTCAAGGAGGGCAGTCTTTTAGTATTCTGTATGTGAAAATGAATGGGTTAAACTCTGTTTAGAGGCCAGTAGATACTCAGTGGAGCTCATGGAGCATCATTCTATAGTGTTGCATGGTACACTGGCAGCAATAGTCAGTTTTTAACTTCCAGAAACTCAGGCTAAGGGTGTACCTGCAGTTACTGTATGCCTCGCTCCATGTAGTGAGAAGGTGAATAGGTGATGGACTAGAACATTACTAATGTGCTGTTACACATTGTGCTGGGCTGAGTAAAATCTTAAGTGGCGGAATAAAATGCTCTTTTTTTTTTCTCGTTTTCTTTTCCAGCTTGCACAAATGTTTTGCATTTGACTCAGTAACAGGAAACCTTGTAATTAGTCTTGTTAGTGTAAAATAGGATCTTAACCTTGAGTATGTTACTTTAGCTCCTGCTCTAAAAAAGTAATTGTAACACGGTTAAAACAGTGGAAATAGTGAACTTAATGCTTGCTCAGTGGTAAAGTAGGAGAGTAACTTGCTTGTGTTTCTTAGATCTGGAAGATTTTAGACGGTATCTTGAAAAGCGTTTTGACTTTGAACAAGTTACCGTAAAAAAATTCAGAACCTGGGCTGAGAGACGGCAATTCAATCGTGAAATGAAGCGGAAGCAGGCAGAATCCGAGCGGCCTATTCTGCCTGCCAATCAGAAACTCATTACCTTGTCTGTGCAAGATGCACCTACAAAGAAAGGTTAGTTTGTCTACCTGTAGTTCAGATATTTATTTCAAAGACTAATCACGGTTCTGAGCTTGACTGAAAAAAAATAAAAAAGAAAAAAAATCTTGTAATAAATCTGCTTTTTTTCTTGTTGGAGAACTCTCGTGTTCTTGGATCCATCAAATTACGTATATAGTAATGGAAAAATACTGTCCAAATATACTTCCTATTAAAAAGAATAATTCCTAAATGAAAGGATTTTTATTTAAGGCTGCAGTCATGGTAACTGGTTACACCTTCAGCTGTTTGTACGGTTGGTTACTGCTGAGAACCCTCCTGCCTGGTCACTCAGTCCTGCTGCCTTCTCAGTTCTGTACCACTTCTCCTTGGTCCCAAATTAGGGACTGGTTACAAATGCCCTGTTGATCCAAATTAAAACCTACAATAAAATCTACAAATTTAAGGCACTTTGAGAGCTACAATTAAGAAAGAACCATGTGTGTGGTTGTGCCCTGTGGTGCAAGGGCTCGCTGTCGTGTCTGATGAGAAGCTGGGGGAATTCTCCCTGACCCGAATTGGCTGTGTAGCCATAACAGTGTGTTGAACTGCAGTCTGGTATTTAAAATGTCCAGAGACCTGTGATTTGGGGTTTGCTCTTCCTTTGTACATTGTCACCTTCCTGGTGTTTTTTTTTTCCTCTTAAGCAGAATTCAAGTTGCATGTTGACCATTCCCTGTAACAGGGAGGTGCAGTTAGATTTTTAGTTAATATATTTTATCATAAATTTTAGGCTTAGAGCTGCACTGAAACTATCTAAATGGGTGCAAGAGCAGTGACCTGATCCTAAACAGGATTTTGTGGGGAAAAAATAACGTAGTTTGTAGATAGGAAGTCTACATGCCTGTTGTTAGAATGGAGATATGCGTTTAGGAGGAAATTAGAAGATTTCTAATGGGTGTTAGCTGCCCAAAATGCTGTGTGGAGAGGTCCAGAGGCTGTGGGACTGCAAACATTGACCATAGTTTAGCTCATAATTAGTGCACTTCCAGTTGTTGACAGAAATTTTCCAGAGTTATTTCTCAATACATCTTCAGAGAAAATGGATTTCACATTTAATTTGATCAGCCATTTATCCCTTGGAGCTTTTTATTGTTTGTTTATTTGTTTGTAGCAGAAATTGTTTTCTAAAGGCTGGAAATACTTACCTGTCTTCCCCTCCCACTATCTTTTTTTTTTTTTGTAGAATTTGTCATTAATCCCAATGGGAAATCAGAAGTTTGCATACTGCACGAATATATGCAACGAGTCCTAAAGGTTCGCCCTGTTTACAATTTCTTTGAATGTGGTAAGTCTGTTTAACTTTTTTTATTCACCACCTGTTGTTCTGAAGGACTTATCTCGTGCTTGCATATCTAAAAAAGACAAAAAACCCCAAATGCTTGACATTTTTCCTAGGGAATGTCTTGAAAGTCTAGTGAGAATCAAGTTTTAGCTAGGAAATGTTTTCTATATTTTAAACATGGCTTTTGGGGGTAAGAGTGATCTTATATTTAAAAACACAGTATGAGTTTTCACTTGGAAAACTATGCCTCAGTGGAAATGGATTTGCATCGAAAAGGCTGCATCGGTGAAGTATGGGCAATTACAGTTTTGCTGACTGTGCACAATTAACATTTGCTTAATTCTCTTGTCATAGATATCCAGAAAATCTGATGTGAAGTCATGCATTGTTTTAGTGAATCATTGGAATCCTGAAAGAAAAAGAGTTAAATACTAAACCTAAATAGTTTCTGGAGAGAAGTGTGTAGGCCTTCAGTTATGAAGTTCTTAAGAATCTGAAAGATTAGTGTGGGATTTATGTGAAATGCTGGGTGGGTATCTGTGGTTTTTAAACAGCTTTTAATTTTATTTTGTGTCAGTGGTGTGAAGATACTTTGGTAGTTCCTGACTTAGGCTCCCATGAGATTGTGTAAGTGATGCTAGCGCTGAGAAAAACAAAAACTCGTGGAGAATTTTATTTTAGATAAATATTTTGGGGGAATCCACTTGATCCTTAATCAAGAATCTAAAAATGTTCCATATATGGCAAGTATAACTGGAATCAAATTAATGTGGATTTTTTTCCTGTAAAATCCAGCCAGATTGCCTTATCTAGCTGCATTTGAGATTGCTTTGCCAAGTGATGTAGCCTGTGTTCCTTGCGTTTTTGCTTTTGCTGTTTTCTTTTGGGGAGGAGGCTTACGGTCAGGAAAGAAATGACAGCTTTTTCAGCAGTGGGCTTGAAAGGATTACGTCTTGCAGTCAGCAAGGAATTACAAGTTGGGCATCTTACTTTTTTAGTATTTACACTGTGTTAGTGATGCAAAAACTCTGCAATTAACGTTTGAATTCTCGCAGATTACAAATGATCTCTTAAAATGTAAAAGTTCTCCCTTTGGAAGAAACAAGTACCTGGTGGTAAGTCTCTGTTAATGGAGAACTCTGTTAGTTTTTCATATAATGGAGTAAGCAATACATTTTTTCTGAAGACTAAACAACTTCAGTTCCTCTTGAAGCTAATGAAGAAGAAAATGAATCTTCATAGTGGTGGCATTTCCTGTTCATGAGTATTTTACAGTAGGAGTTGTGAAAAACTTTTTTTCTCTCCTCCTCTATTTCCAGAGAACCCAAGTGAACCTTTTGGAGCCTCAGTGATTATTGATGGAGTAACTTATGGGGCAGGAACTGCCAGCAGCAAAAAACTTGCCAAGAATAAAGCTGGTAATGTTTTTTTTTCTGTCTTAAAACCAACTGCTGAATTGTTTATTTGTTTTCATTTCTGTTTTCAAGATGACATATTTGCAGTAGTAAGTAGGAATCATTTTGTTAATAGTCAGAGAGGGTATACTCGTGTCTTCTTGGTAGAAGTAATAAATACTCTTGCAGATACTTTTCTGACACCCCTATGTTCAACCATGTACTGGGATAGAAACCCATGAAGAAACCTCGGATGTTACCTTCTGTGTAAACCACTGCTGTGTTCCGAGTAGCTGTGAGAGCATCTGCCTCTAATGATCACACCCATGAGAATGTGTTGGGGGTTGTATATTTGTACCATCATCTTCTATATAAACACCTGATGTATAGATTTTAACAAAATGTAGATCTTCGCCCTCTTTAAAAACAAACTAAATATTCCTCAAGCTTTTAATTGTTTTGGTTCTCTTTCTGGTAATAAAAGAATTGCACTGAAATATGTGAGTATTGATCTCCAAGAACTTGCCCTCGTTAATTAGTTCTATTTGTCTAAGTCTAGTAAATATGTAAATAATTAAGATCTAAATGAGGCTGTGTCTTAGCACATTAAAACTTCTTATTGATCTCCAGATTAAAATGTCTGTAGCATGAGGATCAAGGAAAAATAACTTCTCAAAAGGTAAAGATGTATAATGTACCTGTGGTACTTTCTGCACTGGTGAGATATGTCAGTGTAGCTAAATTGCCAAAAGCCAGCCCAGAAGTGTTTGTGCATGAAGAAAAGGTATTTTACTGTGAAAATTTAGGCAAATTCCAAGTGTGCTCTTAGTACAATGCTGGGGTTTGGAGTGCTTTAGTGATAAAGTACTAGGGTTTGGCTCTAGTAGCTTGAGGGCTGATAATAACCCTGTAATTTTAGGTTCCGAGGGCTACATTGATTTTTTTTTTCCTAGGCATTTGGAAAAAAGAGTTCTTTTCTTAGTTTAGTAAGTTGTGAGACTTTCATTGTCAACTTGAACAAGTAGAATATTTTTTTTCCTTAAAAAGTGCAAGCAAATATCCTTTTTTTAAAAAAAGTGCCCACTTTATCTGTGCAGTTGGTTTCTAATATGAGTGGATATTTCTAGAGGAGATGTGAGGCATCTTTATGGAGTGCTTCACTCTGCTGTCTTTCTCTACAGTCATTGCTTAAAACAAACGTAATCAAGATGTTCAATCATTTTCTGCAGCTCGAGCTACACTGGAAATCCTTATTCCCGACTTTGTTAAACAGACCTCTGAGGAGAAGCCCAAAGACAGTGAAGAACTTGAGGTAACTTTCTCCTGAGGGAGAGAGGATGATAAAAATGTCAGTCTTACAAATTCTTTATGTCCATCCTTGTATGTAATTGGAGTTAAAAGAATTAATTTCAGTTTCTGTCTGCAAATGAAGGATTAGCTGTGGCAGTTTTAATGGTGCTGGTAAATACCTCCATTATGGCTTTAAAAATACTTTTAGAAGAATTAAGCTCAGTGTAACAGAATCTCTGTAATGTTGCAAGGGAGAAATGAGAGTTAAGAACAGCTTTAAGGTCTTATTTGCTCTAAAGCTTAACAGCCTTTTCCAAATCTTTTGTAGTATTTTAACCATATCAGTATTGAGGACTCACGGGTATATGAACTCACCAGTAAAGCTGGACTCTTGTCTCCATATCAGATTCTCCATGAGTGCCTTAAAAGGTGAGGCTGCAGAGGAAGGAGCAAACTCTGTTGCGTACGCGTGTTCGGTTGCTGATCCCTGCGGGGTTTGTCGGCAGCTGGGACGGTTTGGGGCTGGCCACGCTTCCTGCGTGCCCCGCGGCTGCGGGAGACGTGGTGCGGACTGAGCTGGCTAATGCTCTGTCTTCCTTTTCCTTGTATTTGCTGTTTATGCCTGTTGTCTTCCGGGATTAGGATTTAATTGTGGGACATATAAATATATTTGGGGTTTGTTTATACTGGCTTGCCTTTTCTTCCATTCAAGTCAGTTTACTGATCTAAAAAGAAATCTTTGTTAATTAATGTTTTAAATTTTCTTTTTAATGTATTTCATTATGTTGCAATGATTGTCAGAGAGAGCTGCAACCACTCCAGTTGTTTGTAGTTTTACTTACTGTAGTTTTTACTTACTGGTACCGGTTTTGTTTGTGCTTAAGAAACCACGGAATGGGTGATACATCCATAAAGTTTGAAGTGATTCCTGGTAAAAATCAGAAGAGCGAATATGTGATGACTTGTGGCAAGCACACCGTGCGAGGCTGGTGTAAGTACAGTACTTGGTGTGACCTCTGATAATACCTTCCTTTTCTCCCCTCCCTTTCTGTTGTCCGGTTTGTAGGTGCTTGCTCGGCTGTCTAGCTTGTCACGTGCTCATTCTGTTCTTCCCGGGTATCTCAGTTTTGAACAACACCAGCAAATATTGGTGTTCATCTAACTGTGGAGTGTGCCCCTACTGACACGTTTCCATGATTATTTTTACAGGCAAAAATAAAAGAGTGGGGAAACAATTGGCTTCTCAGAAAATCCTACAGCTACTGCATCCACATGTGAAAAATTGGGGCTCTCTTTTGCGTATGTACGGTAGAGAAAGCAGCAAGATGGTTAAACAGGTGAACATGATTTTGTTTCATTGTAACCTACCTTGTGATTGTATTTTGCTTTTATATTTTGGGGGATGTGGATTGAGTCACAACAAAGCTTTCAAGGGTGTCTTTTGGCATCCCAGTGTTGTTCCCTATCGTGGCAAAGCTGGTTCGTATGTTGTGAGCAGTTCTTAGCTCTTCGGAATTGCTTCTCATGCCTTGCTGTTAGCAGAACAGGAGTGCTGTCATTGGCAATAACAACTGTGCTAATCCTGAATCTTCCAAGTCAGAATTATATCGCCTACGTGATATTTAACTAACTCCTGAAGATACATATTATGACTTAAGAAAGTGCAGCTATCACAGATTAAACTTTTGGTCCATGTATTTTAATTTGATTTTTTTTTCATGTTGTTGCTTCTGGTTCTGTTGAATAGGAAACCTCTGATAAGAGTGTGATAGAACTTCAGCAGTATGCCAAAAAGAACAAGCCAAATCTGCACATCCTGAACAAGTTACAGGAAGAAATGAAAAAACTGGCACAAGAAAGAGTGAGTAGATGCTCTTTCGTATGCAGAAGCAGGAAGAATGCCGTGGGTCAGGCTTACCAGTGATCCGAATTTTTGCTTGTTTTATGCAGTATCTCATGTAAAGAGAGCTGTTCAAAACTTGGTTTTTTGGGGGAGGGACACTACTTCTGGAGAGATTTTCATCCTCCCTTTTGAACAGGCTTTTAAAACTTAATTTTACCTACTTTGGTAAATTTATTTTTAACATTTAAACAAGGTAAGCCTTTTCACAATGATTGACACAGCTAAAATTGTTCAAAATTTTAAACCAGCGTTTTGTTATATTCTCTGTGTGACTCTGGTTTGGTTTGTTTCATATTTTTTTAGGAGGAAACACGAAAGAAACCCAAGATGACAATAGTGGAATCAGCTCAGCCCGGTAGCGAACCTCTCTGTACTGTTGATGTGTAATAGGAAATTGGCAAGTGGGGAGCAATAACACAAAAGGAGGAACTAGATTTTCAACAATTATTTCAAAATTGTTTGCTGCAGAATGCAAGATAACTTTTAAAATCCAAGCTGCTTCAGTTATGCATTGTTCTTTTTGCATCATCAGGGCAATATTACTTTTTCCTTTTTTTTTTTTAATACCTCTGAGATACGTATTTTAAAGGATTGATCATAAAGATCTCTACTTGGGCAAATGCACAGAGGACGGGCATGTTCACACAGGATAAAACCATTCAAGCACTTTTTTCTGGAAAGCCATCCATGTTGGAAATGGATGTGTTTTAAGGATGAAATTCAGAATATCTATGTACAGGTTGAAGCTGATACTATATATATATATACACTTATTCATATATATGTATATATAAAAGAAATATATCTACATCTTCTTGTATGAACATGCCTAAAACTATTTTTGTGAAAAGTTTTGTTGCATTTCAGCACATAATAATATGCACTGATACGACACTTTGGTGACAAATACATGGAAGTGATGAGCAATGTTCCTAATGCCATAGGATTAGGCCAGTAAAGCCGTTTCTTTTTGTTTTGTTTTTTTGTCTCCTGCCAGGCTTAGTTATTCGAGATCACAGTATGCAGATTTTTGATTACTTGAAAAGAACAAGCGTACCTGGTAGTGTTAAGAGCAACAGGCTGGATATCCAAAATTATTGTTGGGTTTTATTTTAAATGAAAATGTTAGTTTACAGATCAGTTGAAAGGGGAAAATGTGGCCCTATTGATTTGATTAAAACAGAAATTGTAATTTGAAAGGCTGTTTTCAAAGCATGGAGCCAAAACACAGCTGATGATGGTTGACAGTCTGAAAATATTTTGCCAATGACGTGTTTAAAGACCTTCCACAACCTTCTCCCAGCAATAAAACAATTTCTCATTTGTTTGGAGTCAGAATACATCCGACTTGATCAATTAAGTCTTAATTTGCACCATATAAGCAAAGAATTTTTAAAAAACCATAACACAACCCTAAGAAATCTGAAATAACTGCAGCATTTTAGATTTTTTAAGAAGCTTTTGTTTTTACTTTTTTAATTACATTTTTAGTTTTTAAAGAAAAAGTGTAACTTCTGCAATGAAAATTAGAATGTAGATTTGGAATATGACGTAGAGTAACGAGTAGAATGAGACCATAACAAGTTATACTGATAAATGAGAAAATGACAAATATGCAACTGTTAGAAAACCCAATCTTAGCAAACGGGCAGTACTCACTGTGTCATCTGAGGCTTTATTACATTAAGCACAGAAGAAATCGTTTTGGCCGCAGTGAAGGCATCGCTGTGCGGGTTTCCTTCTTCACGTGGGGTTCTTTCCTGGGCGACTGCAGCACGTCTTCCCTTGCAAACCCCGCTAGGTTCTTGGGTTTCTTCTGAAAGAAGAGAGCAAAAACCGAGGTGGCGGTAGGGCTTCAGTGAGTGATCCGAGAGTCCTGCTATGTTTTACACTCCTAGTGCTGCAGGAGCGAGAGATCATCGGTTCCTTATAACTGCTGCAGCTCCTGGGACTTTCCCCTGGACAGTGATGTGGGGGCTTGGGGAGGGAAGGGGGAGGTTCGGTCTTTGGGGTTTGGTTGTTTTGCTTGGGTGGCTTTTTGTTGTTGGGTTTTTTTTTTTTACTATGTTACATATAGAGTGCTGCAGTATAAAAGAATTTAGTGCCTACTGGATTGTAACGATATTGGCATCAGTATTGTAAGACCTCCTTTGAAGATCACCCATTATTTTGGAAATCTGTGGCTCTTAACTTGGATCTCAAACTAATGCGCTCATATATGCACATCATGTTTGAGGCTAAACAGGAGGAGCCTGTGCTTGAGTGATACGCTCAGAGGTCTCTGCAAATATGAATTCACCCTTTTTTATTATTATATTTAGCTTTTTAGTTCCACGAGTTGTAATCCTGTTGGAACAGGATACAGGTAGTTGGAAGACTATACATAAACTATTATTTAAAGAAGTGGCCTATCTAAAAAACAAAAACAAAAATACTGCCTCTGCTTTTTTTTGTATAGCTTTAATAATTCTCCATCTTTTGAAGGGTATATAAATACTGGTGCAGTAGCGACAAGCGGTGACGACTGTTTGTCTCTCTCCTCATTGGTTTTTTGTTTTGTTTTCATAAAGACAGGGCTTGTATCTCCTATGCCTAAACGTATTACTCTTTTAGGTAGGTTGTACTTCAGCTTACGTGTTTTCAGCAGAAAAATCTGTACTTGGATGGCACTGTAAAAGACAAATCACCCTTGTAGATCTCTTTATTTTTCTGAAATCAGAATGTCGATGCATTTGCAGGTCACCTGCAGAATATCCATAGATGCCTCGCTTACAAATTTGTGTTGGTTATTTTTAAGAGGATTGCTGTATTACCTCAGTCTGCCACTATCAGAATCACAAGGTGACCGTTGCCCTTAATTAAAGCATCCAGAGATTTCATTGTGAACCAAAGCCTAGAACGTATATTATGCATTCTAAACAAAAACAAACAAAAAAAAGATGGTATTAGACCTTGCTGCAGCCTTTAACTGGAGAGATGTCCAGAAAATAGCGCAATAACTGCTGGAACAAACGACTTAACTGCTGTTTATGTCATTGTGAAGTATTCTTGTGTTTTAATGTTTACTATTGTTTGGAGTGTAACAGTCTTGCATTTGCACATAAGCACGAGCTGCTGTGATAGAGGATAGATCATTGCATTAACTTCAGCTTCTGCATGAACACTTACAGTGTGATTCCAGATGTATCCTAAACTTGTCTTGTAACTCTTGTGTGTTTTCTAGGTAATCGGCTGTAAAGGTTTAGATCTTGATTGTACGAATGCATAAAACTGCTGCTTTTGTCACTGATACTTGTTATTTATCCCTTCTATATCCAGAGGAGGATGGGTATTTTTATAGGGATGGAGTGTATTTTGAAGAGCTGTTCCATCCTTTGGGAATTAGACAGTTTTTGCTTTGCATATTTTGTGCTTCTCGACAAAAGTGTGGTATATTGACTTTAAGGATTAAATTAGTGTGCATTCAAATCTTCATGGTACTGATGGAAAACTTACTGTGACTTCCAGTGAATAGTCAGATGCTACCTATTTAAACACCAGTCATCCAGCTTTTTCTTACTATTTATTAAACAAAACTGATGAAGCAGTTGGGTACTCAGAAGTTTGGAAAGACTATTACGCAGAAACTTAACCGCTGTATGTAAACCTCCACTTTCCTGTGATGCTCTTAGGCTTTATACAAACACATCTGTAACATCCAAGTATTTAAAAGCATCTTGATTATCTTATTAATTCTCTGGACCGTACTTTGGTTCTGGAGTAAAATTCAGGAAGTGATCGCCTCCTCACTTTCCGTGGGAAGCAATGTGAAGTGCAAGAAGCCATGCTGTTGTTAACCAAATAAAGCGATCAGTTACAGTATTCTGATGGGTATCTGAGGGAGTGAAAAAACAAAACGAAATTCGTTCTTATTGCCCAAGTAGGTAACAATGGTTGCTGTATGAATTGTGTTGGGTGCAGTTGCTTGATGCCAGTGCTAAATTGGTACAACTATAAAGCCTCATTTTCACTGAGCCTCTGCTTGCTTTTTTTTCTGCACAATCATATAATCCTATGTGTTTGGTCTTTGAGTACTACATGTGTATTTTTCAGACAATTAGTTTTGAGCAATAAAGTTTGATATTATAAAATGCTCCGGTGTGATCGGTATTATGGTAGCTTCAGCGTATTTAGAGAAAGGAACTCTTACTTCTCAATTCCTGTAGGTATATTCAGTTTAATGTAATTAAATGAGTACAGGCTCACTGGTTATGGAAGTATTTGTTTTATCACTCTTTTTGGTAGGAACTGAACATTGGTTTATGAAAACTTCTTGAATTGGAATTTGCTTTTTTACTTAAATAATGTGACAGTTGGAAATGACACCAAGCCCGAGTTGCCGGGTTTGGTACCTGTTGTCCCATGCCTGCCTCACTGGAAAGGAGGGTGGATATCAACAAGTCTGTGTGCCGCAAGTCAATTTGTTTTGTTTAGTCCATGTTAAATACACATTTTCCATGAGGCTGAAGGTAGCGTTTTTAAAGCTGCTCCAGGACTGTGACACAGGAGGTCCTTGACTAAAGGTATCCACTGGGCAGATTTGCCAGCAGTCCGAGGGCAAAATGAGCCTCTTCCTCCAAAATGAAAACATTCTTGTTCACTTTTGACAGGCTAGGAGAGCTGGAAAAAGTTAGTTCTGGCAGCTGCAGGTCCCTGTAACAACATTATCTGCTTTGGGAATTTGATACAGTGCCTTCAGTCTGCAGGGTCCTCCTTACTACTCAAAGCGAGAGCTATTTGCTCTCCCTTTTTGTGGTCTATTATACTCAGACCAGAAGGGATGGTGCTGTGCTAAAAATCAGTCCAGGGTTTCAGATAGTTGTATCTGAATATAACTGTGGAATACTTTATGTAAAGCTGTTTAAAGAGACCACCCCATCTATTTACACCACTCAGTGGAATTTTCTTCTGAGGGCAGGAGGAGAAAAGCAGGATTTAGCCCAATAATACGTAATGAAATTGAAATGAAGTTAGTATGATGAAACAACTCGGAAGCCTTGCAACTACTCTGTTGTACAGAGATTTATTACCTACGTGTTACAGAAACAATGCTACTGAGGCAGTTAACAAGCAAAATGAGTTTCTGTAAAGTGCCTCTCTGGAGTTAAGTCGAGTCCCTCGCTTGGAGTGCAGGATCTACAGACCCAGCAGGATCTACAGAGCCAGCGGCTGCCTGGCTCGTGTCGGTGGCAGCAGATGGGTTGGCGCTATCCAGGCACTCAGAGTCATCTCCCACTGTTGTGACTTGAGCAGCATCAGGTGTGGCTTCAGCAGCGCTCCCGTTGGCATAGTCAGCCCTCTCAAAGAGTATCAGTAACTCGCAGTGCCTGGTCTGCGGGAAGAGATCCACAGCCATCGCTTTGACAGGGCGGAAAGAGCTGCCTTTGACTCTGTTGGAAGGGGCCCGGCAAAGGCTTGAAGGGAAAGAAAGGGGAGGAAAAACTGATTTAGTATTGTGGTACACTGTTCATCACTGTTACTCTTGTAAGGTTTTTCTTCCCTAAGCCTCAAACTGCATGGTTATTCACCACCCTTCATCCTCCCGTTATTACTCGTCCTGAGCTTGCTGCGCGTGTGCTGGCACCTGTTTCTGCTCCCAGGTAAGCCGCAATGGATGGGGCTTAAAAATAAAAATCCAGCGATGGTTGCCCTCCCCAAGAAGTACTTATTTTTCTTCTTCCCACGTGTACTTAGTCAAGTTCATGCAAGAAATACTCACTCTACAAAGTTATTCATTGCAGCTCTGGGATTGCAGGACACATAGATAAGCTTCTTCAGATGTTCAGCTCTTCTAATGGCAAGAATTACCTTGGAATCTGGATGCCCAAAACCAAGACAGCTCTTCACCAGTTCTGTTTGCATCAACCGACTCATGCAAAAACCCCAGGTTATACTCCAGCGTGAACAAAACCGCTGCAATATCCAGTTGCTTCAAGCTGTACCTGAACCCGCCCGCTTAACTTATTCCACTGGAGTTTTTGCAACGTCACCCCCAAACACCACGTAAAACAGACTTAAGGTAAACTTACGCAGCCCTGCTCGTGGTGGATCTACGATAGTAATCAGGTTCTGAGGAGCTAATACGTTAATTAGGGAAGGAAGAACATCTTCAGCCTTCCCACAATGAAATTCAATATTATTCAGTTCTATAAAAGAAATGGAAAGATGTTATCGAGTAGTTATCCAGTCAAAGCACCTTTCAGTACCCTCACACTGGATATTAAGTTTGGATGCCTTAGACACTACAAATTGTTTAGTCTTCCCTGAAATCGGTGTAATTTAAACAATCACTGGAACTGCAGATAATTTAAACAACAGTAACTTGAGCATCTTCCGTTATCTGGGCTAAAGCAAAACCCCACCAAAAATAGCTACTGTTACTGTTTATTTATGAGGGTAACTGTGGCTTCCTTTTACTTTTACACTGAAATACTTTCTTTTTGGAGGAAAAAAAAAAAAGCTAGGCATTAGTCAACAGGAAAATTGATCTCTTGGACTAACATGGTCTTTGTTTTCAAGAGATTAAATGTTTAAAGGGGACAAGGTTACTATCAACAACATGTAATTCCAAGCTGCTTAGATAACGTAAAGAGGGAGAAGTGATTCTGTGAAGCTCTACACTTCCATACTTCTTAACAAAGATCTTGGCATTGCCGCGCAACCAACCATTAATCTGGGCGTTCGCTCTGGCATCCTGCACAGCTTCTTGGCAGAGTTCAATTCCAATCACTTTCTTCACTTTCTATAGAATCAAGGGAAAAAGATCCATCAGTGGTGTGTAAATGTAAATCTAACCATTAGTCATAGCATCAGCAATTAACTGCTGTACCTGCATGTGGACTAGTACCTGGTCACAGAATTACTGCCTTGCAGCCCAAAAAAAGGCTGAGAAGGGACCTGTGCAAACAAATAGGGACTTTCCAGACCAAAGCTGTGGGAGGAGCAGCATTTATCCCAACCTGGGTGTGACAGACTCCAATTACGCTGGCATCTTTCTTTTTCAGAGGCCAGATTTCCTTATACAGTTTATCAAGCTCCACTGTCGAAAGTGATCTAAGAAATGTTGGTTATTCATATCTAAAGCTTCTCTGAGAAAGCCTGAACTGGTTAAGTGGATAAATTCTAGTAAATTTTCGCTCTCCTCAGAACCTGTAACTCTCCTGACTGCAGTAATTTCAAAATAACTTAGGATGTTTAACACCCATGTGAGCTTTTTTAATTTTACAGATGCAGGCAGTTTAATTAGAAAATAATTGAAGAATATGAGATATGTTCTATTTCAAGTGGTTTCTTTCACTGTAAGCACAAGTAAAGATCTGTTCTGTTCAAAGTAGCTTATAACCAGGAAGAGAAGTTACCCACCTTTGCCAAAGAAATGCCAATAGTTCCTGTCCCACAGCAAACGTCAAGTACCGTGCTCTCCTGGCTCAGCTGGGCCCACTCTCTGATGGCAGTGTACAAAACTTCGGCAGCTTGGGTATTTACCTGGGAAGTTTCATTTTGAATAGGTCTATTTCTTCATAAACAGTAAGTATGTTTTAAGGAGTCTTAAGAAAGCATGTTTTCTTTTTCCTGTTTCTAAGAAACAAGTCAACTTCACATGTAAGTTAAAATCACACATAACTGACCCTGAGCAGCACGTGTTAAGAGACCACTCCACTGTTAAAAACTCACTCAGTTCTCGCTGAGAAGCAGCGTTTTGTTATCTCTGTTCTAGTAAAAACATGACATGTTCTGCAGTACCTAAAAAAACATTTGGAAACTAGAGGAGATGGCACACAAACTAATCAGCAAAATGCTAAGCAATAAAGTGAAGTCCAGTCTCTAAGAATACTTCTTCTACTTGAACAGAAGGAGTAGTAAAGATTGAAAAACTAGAATATAAACATGACAATATACTCAGCAGGCTGTGTACTGCTGCTTTGAAGTGCATGCTGTAATTGCACATTATGGTTAAGGAAGTAGCATATAGTAAGTTTTCTAAACCAGTGCCTCTAGAGCAAGCATATTCTTTGTCTTAAAGAGCAAACAAAACATGCAGTGTGGAAAACAAATGTAGCCGATAATCTATGGCACGTAACAGAAAATACAGTTTAGCTTCAATGTATTTGCAATGCCAAGCGATAGCATACTTGTACTTTCCATTTCAGCAATACAGGCTACCTGCTGAGGCTTAAAAGCATTGGAAGGGCAGAAGTTTTGGAAAAACAAACAAAAATTAGTTCTACAAAGATTCCTGAACTACACATGGCGTGTCCTGTGTACATTAATGGCTGCTCTTCAACAGGAGGCAAATGGTACTGAACTAGTACAACATGCCCTCATGAAGTTTACAGTCGTCCTCTGTTTTTACAGTGAATACTCCTCCAAAGGTATTTAATCACACCAAATACATAAAAGATCAAATCTCCAGATATATAATATCTAGTTACACAGCACTAGCCAAGCTTAAGGGCACAAATGCAAATCCGGCTCAGTTAGCAACTTCCTACCGTCCTTACTTGAAAAAATGCATGAGGAGAAATTCTAAATTTTAGGCCAAGAAGTTCTTCATATATGTACTTGTCACCAGCCACATGCTCCAAAGGCAAGTCTTCTAGATTGGGAGATTTCCTGGGGGCAAGGCATGGGGAGACAAAACAAAGAGAGGTAAAAAAAAAAAGGTGGAAAATGCATTTGTTACAATTTTTACCAAAGCTGCAGTCATCTTAAAAAGGCAGTACTATACACTAAACAGGAATTTACAGCGGGCCAACATTTATCATGTCCTTTGTGAGACATCCTCTTAGCCGTTCTTTTCTTACGGTGTACAATCATTCCACCGATGGCAACAGTTAAGACCTGCACCGTCTCTAGACGATGACAATGTGAGCCCTGTGCTCTGTGGAAGAGGACGGGGAGATTAAAAAACCCACATAAAACAGGGAAGAAAGGAGGCAGCCACCGCCGAAATCCCACAAAGTTAACTTCCTCACCTTTGCCCTTCCTCCACAAAGTACAGAGAAGTAACACCGCTGCTCCTTCCCATCCCTTCTGTGAAGTAGTTTGCCAGAGAGATTTTCAGGTCAGCTAGCTCTTCTTTACTTAATTTCTAAAGGTTTCATTTGAAAGAAGGGGAATAATCATCTTAGTGACTTAAAGATATGATTTAGGGTATGTTTTCTATAAGCGTACTAATTACTTGTTCCATTCCATGTAGCAATTAGTCTAAACAGAGGAGCTGTAACGCAAGGTAAACTACACCAGGTAATTAATTACTCTATTTCTCTTTTGCATGCACTATTCATAAAACCAAAATGTTCCCAATTTTAAAGTTGTGTGTCTGGGCTGCACGTTATGTATCAATACCTGAGGATTGAAATAAACAATTGCCATGATGTGGCCGTTCCTGCTGGTACGGACTGTGAGCTGTTTCCAGTGACCTTCATAGGTTTCGGGGCTGTAAACTGAGTAAGGAGTTGACCTGCAATTTTTAGAAGTTCAGTTATTTAACAGAGAACTATCTTTCTGCATAACATTCAACAGTTCTTTGAAACAGAAGAAGCTCAGCCGGCAAAGTGATGAAAAACCCAAGTACAGAGGCTACGTTGATTTGTCAAGAAAAGAATGACTTTCACATCTTAATTAAGACAAAACAAAAAAAAGACTGATGAATAGATAGTATCTCCTAATGCAAAATAATCTGTCCCTACTTCTCACAACCCTCTTACCAGTTTTAACCCATCCAAAATTAGAGATGGGATACAGGCAGCTTCCCATCGCATTCAGAGAATGACACAACTTTTTTACAGGGCCTTCACTGGCTTCTGTGCTTCACAGCAAGGTCAAACTTCCAATCTTCATGATTCTTTTGAGGATTCCATTTCTGAGGATTTAATTGCTTTTTAAAGAAACCGCTCCTTTTTCTAAAGTATCGTTGCTTAAATTTACAACTTCTGTTTTATTCCCAGTTGTAGCATTATTCTTCTTTTCAATTCACCTTTGTTATTCAAATTCCTGTTTTAAAAACCATTTTTCTGAACATTTCTTTGCAGTTAGTGGAAGAAGCTCTCAAATAACAGACACTTTTTTTGCAGGCTTATACATCTCATTGCTTGCCATAACGCCGCGTTCGGCGGGTACCTGTCCCTCCACCTCACAACAGCTGAGCAAGAGCAAGGGAAAAACACCCAGAGAATTAGGCACGAGACGTCAAGCAAGAAAGAACTGACACAAATTGAGACTGGTATCTCTCAGGTCTTAAAAGCTCAGAGTAAGCACTAAGCTTTTCATAATATTTAATTTGATCAATATTTCTAAGACATTAAAACCTTTATGGATAACTGATTTTACTTATGCTCACCTTATGTAGTCTTGGAAAGCTTTTACTACCTTTTTGGCCATAGCAGATAGTATCAAATGGCTCCACTACAGCACAGGTACCACCCTTATATTTGCCAAGCCGACAACCCACAGTTTTGTCTTCTTGATTTACACCAATCCCAATCAAGAACTCACACTTGTTGCGATATTCAGTCTAGATTTAAAATAAAGCTATGTAAGATATTTTCGTAGCACTTATTTGTACACGCCAAGTTTCTCCTGAAACAAGCCTCACATGTTTAAAACGTATTTGCAAATAACACGGGACATTTACTTCATATGGAAGATACTCGTGGATTTTGATCTATGAGAACTACCAGCAATAATGAAAAAGCATTAGTAAGTCTTATTTAAAAAGCAAAATATTGCCTCTGTTGAAAAAGTTTCTACTAGCCTACAACACAAGCTTGTAGGGACAGCGTGTTCATTTACAAGTTAGAATATCCAGTTAATTGTAACTGGGTACTTCCACACAGTATTTATGTGAAAGACAACAAGGTCTAAAATGCATCATTCATTACAAGATCAAGTCAAACACTCGGTTTGTCCACTCTCTCTTAAAACCAAATTACTAATTTAACCCCAAACTCATTAACCCCATTCCACACTTTACCTGAGGTCACACTACCTGTAACGGTGATGCTTTCACCCCCTCTACTGGGCAACACAATTTATTATACTTCTGCTTCTGCAGGAACAACCACGGTAACAAAGCTCTGTTGTTATTTCCTATTTCCCTGCGCCAAACACAAACAAAAATTGTGAAGTGCACATTTAGAAAAACTGAGGTTAACACTTGCATAAGACATTTTTCTCTTTTTTTTTTTCAGTACAGGACATAAAAAATTATCAGATGAAGAATACGTCTTCCAGAATTTTTTAACAGGCAAACTAACCCCTTCAACTTTGTAAGAGCTGTGACCTGAAAGAGTTGAATGCAGTTATAAAGTTATGTACTAGATTTATCAATGTACCCATGCAGGAAAACAATGCCAGTTTTACCTCCACAAGAGAGTCAGGCAAGAGACACAAGTGATACTTTGATCTACAAATACCAGCCATAAAAATTTGAGGGGACTTTTTAAAGAGAAAATCCTAATAATAATTTGCCAGTTCTACAGATTTGATAACCTCTTACACCATTTGACAGTGCCAATTTTTTTTGCAACTTTATGGGTACAAACATCCTTCTGCTTGAGCACAGGGAACGAGAGACCTTACAATAGTGTCCCTTCATTTAGCAATTGTTCGCGACTGACCAAGACAGTGACAGCAAGGAGCTGTCTCTAAGTCCCAGCATCACAGATTCTCTTTCCTTTACTTTGTCAGGGAACTTGAGTTTTGTCCTACCTCTAACTTACTTTATTTTAGGGATCGCAATTTGTAAAAGTTTAGCTATGTCCCAACATACGGTCAAGTCTTGCGTACGTTACAGTAGCTTTACCAACAGGAATTACCTTGTCAGCTTCTGCAGCACTTGTTCACATT